AGACAGGCATCATCTGGTTAATTTCTTTTAAAGACTTCTCTCCCCTAATAAAGAATGGAGTGAACAATTGGTTGTATTTGAGCTTTTAATTAGACCCAATATAATATGCTTACAAGTATTTTGCCTGCCAGGCATCGCAAAAATCACTCTGCTGATTTTACAAGAATTTAATACACGGGAACATAAGTTGGCTGGGATTCAATAAGAGATTATCTTGCTAAGTGAGAATAATGAAAAAAGCAAGGAGAAAACAACTTTATTGGAAGGGGTGGGAGGAAAGGAAAGGCAGGAAGTCACACTGGAAATGAGTTTCAGAAGTACAGAGTTATTTACTCAGGGACAGGTCCTGGTTTTGTGGGGCCTGACGCCTACCTACTTGGTGGAGGCAGGTGAGGGGAGTAAAATATTTAAGAAAAGAATATTAAAATATTAATATGAAACCAGTTATGATTATATTTATATCAAATGAGAAAAAAGTCTCAACAAACTACGAATTTTAAAAGATGATAGATATGTTAAACATAACAAATCTAGACAAATCTCATAATGTTTCTTAATGACTTGCCTGACCATCTCTACAATATTTGTTTTCTACATATTTTTTGACTGTGTAGACTTTATAGCCTTTTTCCGTGACAACAATTTCATAACGTTTTTTATATGGAGAGAATACAAAGGCAAGCTAATCTTTTCCCTAGCAGAGATTATTAAAATTTATTTTTTATTACTTTTTATTTTTGAGATGGAGTCTCGCCCAGGCTGGAGTGCCGTGGTGTGATCTCAGCTCAGTGCAGCCTCCGCATCCCAGTTTCAAGCTATTCTCCTGCCTCAGTCTCCCAAGTAGCTGGGACTACAGGCATGCCACCACACTCGGCTAATTTTTGTATTTTTAGTAGAGACAGGGATTCGCCATGTTGGTCAGGCTGGTCTCGAACTCCTGACCTCAGGTGATCTGCCCACTTCAGCTTCCCTAAGGGCTGGGATTACAGGTGTGAGCCAGCATGCCCATCCTTGTTACTCTTTCTTTTTAATTTTTTGTTTGTTTTTTGTAGAAACAGGGTCTTGCTATATTGTCCAGGTTGGTCTCAAACTCCTGGCCTCAAGCAATCCTTCCACCTTGGCCTCCCAAAGTTCATGTCAGTGGGATGAACACCAAAGTTTATGCCAGGCATGAACACCACATCGGGCATACAATTTCTCGTTATTAATAATCAGATTCATAAAATACATGATTTCACACATAGATTTACTCACTTTTATAGAACTGCTACAGGTTTGTGCCCTATAAATAGAGAAATGTTGATAAAATCTATTTCATATGATTCATTTCTAATTTTTTTTTTTTTTTTTTTTTTTTTTGAGACGGAGTCTTGCTCTGTCACCCAGGCTGGAGTGCTGTGGCCCGATCTCAGCTCACTGCAAGCTCCGCCTCCCGGGTTCCCGCCATTCTCCTGCCTCAGCCTCCCGAGTAGCTGGGACTACAGGCGCCCGCCACCTCGCCCGGCTAGTTTTTTGTATTTTTTAGTAGAGACGGGGTTTCACCGTGTTAGTCAGGATGGTCTCGATCTCCTGACCTTGTGATCCGCCCGTCTCAGCCTCCCAAAGTGCTGGGATTACAGGCTTGAGCCACCGCGCCCGGCCGATTCATTTCTAATTATATTTGTTGCATTATTGAGTAGATTCTTGACAGGAAAGAACTTCCGCGTGAATCAGATGCTGGTGAGAACTGAGTGCTCTGCTTACCACTGAACGTGCCTGACGACTGGCAGAATGTTCTGTGGGTTGGCCTCTGGCCCTGCATGTTTTAAGCCTTATTTCTCTTCCACTGGCACATCTGGGCCGGTTGGCACAGGATACATTCTTATCACCATACCACCTCTGGTCCTCCAGCTTCATGTCTCCAATCAGGTCGGGTCAACCCAGTGGGCAATGAAAGTATTCCCTGGACATTATTCCTACACCAGGATGAACTGACAAGAACTCAGCATGGAAGTGACGTGAAACACACGAATATATCCTGCAAAACCCAAACGAAATGAAATTTCCAGGTTAATATTACCTTAGATGACCCCTGCAAACTGCCCACAGCTGTTCCAGGCCTCTTCACACTTGGGAAAGTCAGAAAGGAAAGAAACGGCAGTCTTAACCAATGTGCAGCTTCAACATCGAACGGTCCTCAAACAACACCATTTCATTCAACCTTGTTTTCATATCACTTCGAGAGAAAAAAATGGATTTCTGGCCGGGTCTCACCACTGCCTATGTGGAGTTGCACATCTCCCCGCATCTGCATGGGTCTTCTTCGAACACGCTGCTTCCCCACCACATCCCAAAGCTGTGCATACTGGGTTAACTGGCAACTACGTGGTCCCAGATCAAGTGAGTGTCGGGGGTTGTGAGTTGCCCTGCCATGGGATGGCCTCCTGTCCAGCGCCGGTTCCCACCGTGTGCCCTACCCTCCAGGGACCGGCTTCAGCCACCTGCAACCCAGAGCTGGAATAATAAGGTAAATAATTATTTCACTTGTTTTATTCTTTTTTTTTTTTTTTTGAAACAGAGTCTCGCTCTGTCACCCAGGCTGGAGTGCAGTGGTGCGATCTCGGCTCACTGCAAGCTCCCCATCCCGGGTTCACGCCATTCTACCTCAGCCCCTCAGCCTCCCAAGTAGCTGGGACTACAGGGGCCCGCCACTACACCCGGCTACTTTTTGTGTTTTTAGTGGAGACGGGGTTTCACCGTGTTAGCCAGGGTGATCTCGATCTCCTGACCTCATGATCCACCCGCCTCGGCCTCCCAAAGTGCTGGGGGGCGTGAGCCACCACGCCTGGCCTGTTTTATTCATGTTTCTTAAATGCATGTATAGCTCACATTTATTTCAGTGTTTAATATTAGAAGCGTTTTGGTCTTTATTTAGAAGTTTGATGCTGTTCTTCTGACCAGATATATGCCATGGGAACTTAATTCTTGTTTTTATCTATTAGCCTATGGGAAAATCGGTTTCATTATAGGTTGTTTCACTTAAGGTTGCAGTTTCCAAGAACCTATTGATGACATTAAGTGAGTACTTGCTGTACTTCCATAGATTTCACAGACCTCAATGGCAAGGAAACACAGCACAAGGGCTCGTGCCACGACTTGGAAAGCACAAAGCTGCAGATGCCTTAGCTTCACGGTGAATCTGCCTCTGACCCTAGAGGCCCGCAGACCTGGCTGATAATCAAACTCATCTGCAGGCCCTGTTAGAGAAATACGGACCCCAAGGTCCCACCTCTGGAGATTTTGCTTCGATAGTGAAAAGTGAAGTGGTGCTTATGGAAGCTAAGACGTTTGGGTAAGGTGTGCATGGAGGTGGGAGGGAGGAGGGGACAGATGCAACTTACTGAGCCTTCTAAAATCATTCTCTTCAGAGCTGGTCCTGGCACCCTGTGAACTGTCCATCACCTTTTTTTTTTTTTTTTTTTTTTTTTTTTTTTTGACAAAGTCTCGCTGTGTGGCCCAGGTTGGAGTGCAATGGCGCAATCTCGGCTCACTGCAACCTCCGCCTCTTGGGTTCCAGCAATTCTCCTGCCTCAGCCTCCCAAGTAGCTGGAACTACAGGTGCATATGCCACCATGCCAGGCTACTTTTCTTGTGTTTTTAGTAGAAATGGGGTTTCACCATGTTGGCCAGGCTAGTCTGGAATTCCTGACCTCAAGTGATCTGCCTGCCTCCGCCTTCCGAAGTGCTGAGATTACAAGCCTGAGCTACCGCGCCCGGCCTGTCCATCATCTTTCAAAGCAAGCTTGTTCAACCTGTGGCCCCCCGGCCTAATGCAGCCTAGGATGGCTTGAATGTGGCCCAACACAAATTTGTAAACTTCCTTAGATGTTTTTGTGATTTTTTTTCTTTTTCTTTTTCTTTTCTGTTTTTTTTTTTTTTTTTTTTTTTTTTTTTTTTTTTTTTGCTCATCAGCTTTTGTTAGTGACAGTGTGTTTTATGTGTGGTCCAAGATAATTCTTCCTCCAATGTGGCCAAGGAAAGCCAAAAAATTGAGCACCCCTGTAAAGTCTCCTGGTATTTCAAGAAATGATGGCCAGGGCCAACTTCTCCAAATTGCTATTGCTGCAATTCCATCACAAACACACACATCCTGCCTCTCCCTTTGCATTCCTATTCTGGTTGGGTTTTTTGTTTGTTTGTTTGCTTTATTTTTTGTTTTGTTTTGTTTTGTTTTTGTTTTTGTTTTGTTTTGTTTGATGGAGTCTTGCTGTGTTGCTCAGGCCGGAGTGCAATGGTGCAACCTCGGCTCACTGCAACCTCTGCTTCCTGGGTTCAAGCAATTCTCTGCCTCAGCCTCCCGAGTAGCTGGAATTATAGGTGTCCGCCACCACGCCTGGCAAATTTTTGTATTCTTAGTAGAGACGGGGTTTCACCATCTTGGCCAGGCTGGTCTTGAACTCCTGACCTCGTGATCCACCTGCCTCAGTCTCCCAAAGTGCTGAGATTACAGGTGTGAGCCACTGCGCCCAGCCTTAATGAAAACTTTTTTTCCCCTCGAGATGGAGTCTTGCTCTGTCGCCCAGGCTGAAGTGCAGTGGCGTAATCTCCGCTCACTGCAACCTCCGCCTCCTAGGTTCAAGCGATTCTCCTGCCTCAGCTTCCCAAGTAGCTGGGATTATAGGCACACACCACCAAGCCCGACTAATTTTTGTATTCTTAGTAGAGGCGGGGTTTCACCATGTTGGCCAGGATCGTCTCAAACTCTTGACCTCGTGATCCCCCCGCCTCAGTTTCCCTAAGTGCTGGGATTACAGGCATGAGCCACCACGCCCGGCCCTGACTGTTTTTAAGTAAGGGACATGAGTGTGTGTGTGTGTCACACAACACACACACACACACCTGTGTCTTCCTCTAAATTACTACATCAGGGCAAATGTTAAATCAGGAGCTGAACCTGTTTATTGGAATCTGGAACTGGTCACTTGGAAACTGGGAGTAGTTGGTCTTCTTTTTGTGTTCTAGAACGGAGTCAATTATACTTCCACTCATCTCCCATGCAGACAATTCAGGTGAGAAATTAAATCAATCCACTCCACCCCGAGTTCATAGGAAGCTCCTTAAATCCTAAGCATAGCTTTCCATTTAAAAAATAAGTCTTTATTTCTGCCCAACTGGAGAACAGGCTTATAACTATAAGCCTGAGATATCATTTGAAAAATCAAATACTAACTAAATAATATTCTTAAAACAATAGCAACCCTTGTCATTATTATTATTATTTATTTATTTATTTTTTGAGACAGAGTCTCAATTTGTCACCCAGGCTGGAGTGCAGTGGCATGATCTCAGCTCACTGCAACCTCCACCTCCCGAGTTCAAGCGATTCTCCTGCTTCAGCCTCTCAAGTAGCTGTGACTGCAGGCGCCCACCATGCCTGGCTAATTTTTTTGTACTTTCAGTCGAGACGGGTTTTCGCCACGTTGACCAGTCTGTTCTCGAACTCCTAACCTCAGGTGATCCACCCGCCTCGGCCTCCCAAAGTGCTGGGATTATAGCCTGGCTCCTTGTCATTAAGTCTGTCTCTCTTTTTGACATCTTTGTGCCTAAGCGTACAGGCTTCAGAACAGACTGCCTTTGTCCACATTCCTGTTTTATTCCTTACCATTATGTCCCCCTTGCAAGCTATTTAAGCTCTCTGAGCTTCAGTTACCTGGTCTGTAGGGCTGTTAGGATTGGATGAAATTGTGTTTGTAAAATACCTAGTGCAACATTTGAAATTTGCTCAACAAATCAGTTAATATTTTCACTATGTTACTATTCATACTTTCAGAATGAATGAGAAGGACATGCAAATGAGAAAAAAAAAGAGAGACATTATCAAACACTGTGAATAGGAAGACCAACAAAGATCATTTAGGAAGTAAGTTGATAGTGTTTATCAAAATTTAATCCGTACATATCTAATTTCTAGGAACCTGTTGCAGATAGATCCAAACTAATTTTACTGGGCAACAACTGTCAGGTTCTCTTGATAAAATTCAGCTGACTGCCGTGACTAGAGGTAGATGATACAACCATACAACCTTAACACGAAGAGCCACACACCTCAACTGTGGGCTCCTGATTAGGCCACTTCAAATACTAACTGCCTCTAGGGTGTAGAGATGAAAGATAAACTATCATACACACTACTAATGCTCATGGTAGATATGCTCAATTGGGTACCTCTTTCTTTTTTTTCTTTTTCTTTCTTTCTTTCTTTTTTTTTTTTTTTTTTTTTTTTTTTTTTTTTTTTTTTTTTTTTAGACACAGTCTCACTCTGCCGCCCAGGCTGGAGTGCAGTGGTGCGATCTTGGCTCACTACAGCCTCTGCCTCCTTGGTTCAAGCGAGTCTCCTGCCTCAGCCTCCCAAGTAGCTGGGATTACAGGTGCGCACCACTGTGCCTGGCTAATTTTTGTATTTGTAGTAGAGGTGGGGTTTCACCATGTTGGCCAGGCTGGTCTCGAACTCCTGACTCAAGTGATCTGCCTGCCTCGGCCTCCCAAAGTGCTGGGAATACAGGCATGAGCCATCATGCCCGGTCAAACTACTCTTTCTAAATATGCCTTCGTCCGGGAGGAAAAAAATCATTTTCCTTCTACGCTTTTAAGTTCTCAGCTGAGGCTCTGACAGGTGAACAGGAAAGAAACAACAGAGGTTTATCAACATGTGTATACACATGGGAAAAATTCAGGGATGAGTATCCCAAACAGGCGGCTAGAACTTGGACTTAAATAGCACCTTTTTAAAAAAAACAATAAATTTCAAAGACATAACAAGACAAAGCAGAAAAACTTTGAGTTTCTAGGGCAGCAAATTGTGGACAGGTAAATATATGGAAGGTCAGCACCAGTCAGTAAAATTTGTTATATGAATCTTCTGATTGCTGTCTTTTCACTGATAAGGGTCTAGGATTATCAGCGATTAATTGTTGTACAAATTTGTATCCTGCTTTTAGGCAAATAGGGAAAAGGATGACAGCTTTCCATGTATCTTCTTCTTCTTCTCAGTTGTCTTTAGCTCAAAAGAATCCTTATGCCCAAGCGGTATATTTTGGGGTGGCAAATTCTGCTATCCTTTACCTTCCTGTACCGCACAGTCTAGAAAACTAAAAATTACATTCCCTAGCTTCTCTTGCAGCTGAGATTTGGAGGGAGAATTCGGTCCCACCAAAGTCACATCAGATAATTTCCAAAATATTCCCCCCCGCCTTTTTTTTTTTTTGGATAAAGGCTAAGGTGAAGGACGTGCTTAGTGTGAGGTCCAGATGGCCTACTGTTAATAACTGAGGCCCAGGATCTGGCCAGCTTACCTGCCCCCAGTCAGGGCAGCACAGGACTGGCAGTGGCCTTCCCTACTGGGACTGGGGAGTTGGGGCTGAGCTGGTAACATTTAGGGAGGGCCTGTAGAGGCTGAGGAACATCGGTGTTTTTTGCAGACAGCTCACTTCCAGGAGGAAGAAAGGGAAACCCTGGGCTGAGCACACCTAGAATTTTTCCCAGGTTTGCCTGCCAGGTTAAACTACCTCTTTCCTCTCCCAGCCACTGCAGAAAGTCAGAGAGGCCAGGGTGTTACAACTGCACATAGGGGAGAATCACCAAGGAGGGTGAAAGAGTTTAGTTACATATGTTGGCAGGAAGTCTGGTGAAAAGGGACAAAAAGAACTGTCACAATTTACTGTATATACTCCTGTTTAAAATTAATTTTTATAAAAATCCTGTATTCATGTACAATTTGTATAGTTAAAATAGAAAGAAAAAGAAACCTACCACTTTGGTGTAGGATGGAGTAGCCTACAGCACATCAAATATCCTGCCAAGAAAAACTGGAAAATCTAGATTACGGTAATTTAAAAAGAAAAAAAAATCTTTTAAATGCATCAGAGGGCTGGGTGAAGCAAAAAGGATTAGAAGAGGCTCCACTCTGGAGAAGGGAAAACTGCAGAGAGGTGAGCTGTTAACTAGCAGCCACTTATCCCGTGGGGGGCCCTCATCCTGCCACTGGGCAGAGGAAAAGTCACTTCCTGGGATAGCCCCATCTAAGGCCAGCTTTCCTCTTTTATTCTTCATCACAACAGTCTCAGGGTTTGCGCTGCAATTTGTCATTAAACGTCAACTTCATTGCATTTTTATTTGTCTCTCTGTGTATACTGTAACCTTCATGTGGGCAGAAAGAGTCTGTCCATCTTGTTCATTGTTGCATTCCCAGGCCTGGTATACGGTAGATGCTTAGTAATATGTGTTGGGTTGCATTGGAATGAATGCAATGGAATATGAACAGCGAAAGCTTTCCAACTCAGATTTCCTGGATTCTAAAGGCCCCTTGTCTCCCCGGAGGCTCTGTTCCCTTAAGGCTTTGTCAATAGGGCCAAACCTAAGCTCCTTCTGATAGAATGGCATCCTCTGAGTCCTGCTCTAACACCCCCAGGGCTTGGAAGTGGGTGGGGTTGCGAGCCTTATCCGCAACCCTCTAATCTCCCAGGCCACACCCAAGCTAGCACCTCCAGGCCCTTCTCTCCCTAACCACAGAATGCCTTGCAGCTCTAACAGAAAAAGTGTAAGAACTCCTGTTTTGAGGGCCTACCTGACATCCAGTTTCTGTTTAATTCAACCCGTTTCTCAAACTCTCCAAAGCCCTGCAGGTTCCTCAAGTCCACGTGCTCTCAAACCCTTGCCCCAGATTCTAAAACCAGGCCTGTCCACCCTCAGTCTTATTGCCGGGCCTCTGGGCCCACCTTCCCCATTGTCACTGAACCCTGGACCAACCAACCCTCTGGGGGTCCCACCCAGGGGGAACCCACACCCCATGAGTGAAGACGGTACAGAGAGAAAAAATCTAAATTGAAGTCTGCAGTTGCTGGGTACTTTAAAAATGTCTTTCTAAGGTCGGGCGCGTTGGCTCATGCCTGTAATCCCAGCACTTTGGGAAGCCAAGGCGGGTGGATCACAAGGTCAGGAGTTCGAGACCAGCCTGGCCAATATGGTGAAACCCCATATCTATGGAAAATACAAAAATTAGCCCAGAGTGGTGGTGCACGCCTGTTGTCCCAGCAACTCAGGAGGCTGAGGCAGGAGAATCGCTTGAACCCAGGAGGTGGAGGTTGCAGTGAGCCAAGATCGCGCCACTGCACTCCAGCCTGGCAACAGAGCGAGACTCTGTTTAAAAAAAAAAAAAAAAAAAAGTATTTCTAAGTGCAGCTTGACATTCTCAAAACTTTATTCTTGCACATTTGAAGTATTTTATTTTCCTTTCCAGGTGTAAAAAGCCCAAGACTGAAGCCAGGAAAAATGAATTCTGGTCCTGGTTCTGCTGCTATGTGATATTGGACCATCCGTTTTCTGATGGAAACCTGGCTCATTTGCTTTGGGGGTTGGTCCTCTGATATCCAAGCAGGGACTTTGATTTTCTTGTGAGCACTCAGAGGCTGTCAGGCTCAGGGAAACCTACATACGTGGTCCACACTGAAATGAGGGTCTAAAGCCTTGATGTAAGCACGAAAGCGCGCGGGCAGCATGCAGCCCTACAAGCAGGCATTGATCCTCAATGGGTCAATGGGTTAAGGTTTATCCAGCCCCAGGAGGGCCCAGGTCCCCGCTGGACCAGAGAAACCCCTTTAGGCTTGTGTATTAGCCCTTTTTCACACTGCTGATAAAAACACACCAGAGACTGGGCAATTTACACGAGAAAGACATTGAATGGACTTACAGTTCAATGTGGCTAGGGAGGCCTCACAATCATGGTGGAAGGCGAAAGGCACTTCTTACATGGCGGCAGCGAGAGAGTAGATGAGGAAGAAACGAAAGCGGAAACCCCTTATAAAACCATCAGATCTCATGAGACTTATTCACCACTGTGAGAATGGTATGGGAGAACCGCCCCCATGATTCAGTGACCTCCCACAAGGTCCCTCCCACAGCACGTGGGAATTATAGGAGTACAGTTCAAGATGAGATTTGGGTAGGGACACAGCCAAACCATATCAGCTTGTTAGGCCTCTCCAAAAATGGAGAATTTTCTTTTATATCACTTTGGTACTTATAGAGGCTTCCTGTGTGCCAGGTCTGTTCTAAGCACTTTACACCTGATGGCCCATTTCATCCTCATGACAAACCTATGGAGTAGATATGCTTTCCCTGCCAAGAGCTCCAAACTGTGAGGCCTTGGGAAGGTAAGGCATTTACTCAAGGTGAGCACTTCCTACAGTAAGAGGCAATCTGGCTCCAGGGTCCATGTTCTTACCCACAGTGCTGGTGATTTTTCTACAGGCACCAGAAGAGCCTCCTCATTCGCGGTTTGGGTTCCCTGGTCACTTGATCCCAGGTGGACAGTGCTAAATGTGGGCATGCCACTCACTGTAGTTTAGTCACACCTTAGTCTCATGGTTTGGTTTTTCTGGAGAACCCTAACTAACACAGTACCTAAAGGGTGTTCTGTAAATATACATGGTTCATCAATGCATGGATTTGATTTTGGTCTTTTGAGTCTCCTCTGGGCATCAGTCTACAACTCATCTTGGGGGTGGGTTATACCTGCAAATAGTCCATCTCATTAACTACTTTCTTCCTAGTTTCTCAGTGAGTGACATTTTCCTGACCTCTTTTCCAGAATCCAGAAGCAATTTTCCAAAGCCCACTTCCTAAAGGAGGCCCTCACCCACAGCAGTATATACCCAATAGAGGTCTTTCCTTTCCTTGAACCCTTATGAAATCTTTCTAGTCTCTTTTTTTTTTTTTTTTTTTTTTTTTTTTTTGAGACAGGGTTTCACTCTTGTTACCCAGGCTGGAGTGCAATAACGCAATCTCGGCTCACCGCAACGTCCACCTCCCGGGTTCAAACTAATCTCCTGCCTCAGCCCCCTGAGTAGCTGGGATTATAGGCACGCACCACCACGCCTGGCTAATTTTGTATTTTTAGTAGAGATGGGGTTAGTCAGGCTGGTCTCAAACTCCCGACCTCAGGTGATCCACCTGCCTTGGCCTCCTAAAGTGCTGGGATTACAGGCGTGAGCCACTGCGCCCGGCCAAATCTTTGTCTTTCAAGAGTAAACGGATATACAGCTCTCCAGTTACTTTATTTGTGTCATTTCATTTAATGGTTCGTTTTATTTTATTTTATTTTATTTTATTTTTTGAGACAAGATCTGGCTCTATCACCCAGACTGGAGTCCAATGGCGCGATCTCAGCTCACTGCAACCTCGACCTCCCGGGCTCAAGCCATCCTCCCACCTCAGCCTTCTGAACAGCTGGGACTACAGGTACATACCACCACGCCCAGCTAATTTTTGTATTTTTTGTAGAGACGGTCTTGCCATCTTACCCAGGCTGGTCTCCAACTCATGAGCTCATATGATTTGCCTGCCTCAGCCTTCCAAACAGCTGGGATTAAAGGCGTGAGCCACCATGGCTGGCCTTCACAGTTCTTTTTAAACCTCAATCTAGAAATGGAAATCTCAAGCAAAAGAGGGCAGATGTTTTTATTTAAGGCCCTTAAAGGAGATAAGGAAGTCCAAGAAATTTTCCAAATGGAGTTGCAAGCAGAGAGTATATGGAGACTTAAAAAGGTGTTGGATCTCAACAGGAGCTGTTATTTGTTTGCAGATTTGCCTGTGATCTTCTTGTGGGCCTAAGTACTCCCCATTGTCACTGCTATAGAGCCGGGACCCAGCCCAGTGCCGGGTCAGAAGAAGCTCTATTAGTGCTTATGAACTGTGTTAAATTGGAACTTTCAACCAATTCAATATGGTCACAATGGGTTGGCTCCTAGTAAGCTGCTCAATAAGTGTTTCTTCAGGTGACGATGGCAAATGAAAGGCAGTAAGGCCCATTGATTTCAGATCCAGAGTTTGGGACTCAGAACTATATAATCCTGGGGTCAAATCCTAGCTTTGCTTGCTTCTTTCTGCATCCTCTGAGCCTCTCCCCTGTAGAGAACCTATTTCACAGTATTGCTATGAAAATGACATGAGATCATGCATGTGAAATTTATCATAGTATTGCTCATAATACTACCTTGGGCTGGGAGCTATTCCCAGGCTTTCTCATTTAATCCTCTTGCAATTCAAAGAAGAAGGCACTCTTAACTGCCCCACTTCTTACAGATTAAGAAGTTGAGGAACAAGGGCCAGAGCGGCGTCTCCAAGGTCACAAAGCTAAGAGTAGGTATAGAACGCAGGTGCAGTGGCTGGTCTTTTTATTTTTATTTTTATTTTTTATTTTTTTATTATACTTTAAGTTCTAGGGTACCGTTAAGGGAGAGCTACGAAGTCCCACATGTGGGCAGTAAGTACTCAGTAAAAGTACACTGTTGCTGTTACTGCTGCTGCCGTTATGCTGGACAGCCGGGGAAAGTGAGGGGCAGAGAACTTGGGTCCCCATAGCTACTCCATAACAGGGCCAGAACCACGGGTGGCTCCAACATTCAGACCTGGGGCACCAAGCCTCGTTGCTTGTTTCTTAACTGCTTTCTCCAAGGCCTGCCCTGGGCAGCCACACCCAGAGTTCTCACCACACCCTGGAGCTCTTGCCACCCAGAAGTTCTCGCCACACCCTGCCTGCTCCCGGAAGGTAACAGGGCCATTGAAGAAGGGCTGCATTGTTGTGGCCTTGGCCGCGGCCCTGAAGGCCAGGAGGACAAACACGTTGTCTTCTAAGTACCGCAAATCAATATACAGTAAAAGTCAGAATAAAGGCCCTCTTGAACTTCAACTGACCTCAACTCCAACGACTGGCCCTGAGGACAAATACCCAGGAACCTGATTCCAGGAGAGAATGCCTCTGCATGGCATCCAGTTGCTACCTGGCAGGAGGGTGTTTGCCTTTGGGGGAGGTGGGGGCAGGGGTATCAAGTTCTCCTGGGGAAGACAGGAAGTTTGCCAGCGCCACCCAGAGCAGAAAAAAAGTGTGACGGTATCAATAAAGATGACAATAGCAAGAGATTTCCTTTTTTCCTCAGAGTCCTGGCCTGCATGAATAGGTGAAATCACAACAGCTAAGATTCAGTTAGTGCTTACTGCGTGGGCCACGTGCTGCGCTTAGAACCACATGCATTGGTTCGTTGAATGCGCTTAACAACCCTATGGCATGCATTTTATTATTTTCATTTTTCAGGTGAGAAAATCATGGTACAGAGAAAAGTAAATTGCCTCCCCAGGGACTGCTCAGCCCCCAGGAAGCAGAACTAGAGTCTGAACCCAAGCGATCTTCTATGGCCCTTCCCTGCAAGCTGGCAGTGGGGTATTTCTCTTTATGGTCGCTCTCATTTAATTTTGAATCAGATGTCTTATGCCAAAGTATATACAGAAAGGGCACCACTTTGGAAGGTATACTATAACAAAATACCATAAACTGGCTGTTTTGTTTGTTTGTTTGTTTTTTGACCGAGTCTCGCTCTGTTGCCCAGGCTGGAGTGCAGTAGCACAATCTCAGCTCACTGCAAGCTCCACCTCCTGGGCTCACGCCATTCTCCTGCCTCAGCCTCCCAAGTAGCTGGGACTACAGGCACCGGCCACCACGCCCAGCTAATTTTCTGTATTTTTTTTTTTTTTTTTTTTTTTAGTAGAGACAGAGTTTCACCCTGTTGGCCAGGATGGTCTCCATCTTCTGACCTCATGATCTGCCCGCCTCAGCCTCCCAAAGTGCTGGGATTACAGGCATGATTCACCTCACCCAGCCAACTGGGTGTCTTATAAACCACAGAAATTCATTTCTCACCGTTCCGGAGGCTGGAACTCCAAGATCAAGGCACAGGCAGAGCTGGCATCTGGCAAGGTTATGCCCTCTAGTTCATAGATTGTGCCTTCTCACTGTGTCCTCCCAAGGTGGATGGGGTGGGAGGTCTCTCTTGGGCATCTTTCATAAGGGCACGCCTCCCATTCAGGAGGCCTCTGCCTTCATGACCTAATCACCTCCCAAAGACCCAGCTCCTAATACCATCACCTTAGGGGGTAGGATTTCAGCATATGGATTTTAGGGAAACACAAACATTCAGACCATAGCAGAGGGGCTGAGAGACCCCTGAAGCCTGCTAGGGCTCCTGAGAGCAGCTGACAAATGTATAGGATTTTGAAGAAACTTTTCAAGTCCCAGGGCAACCAACTTTGTTCCTGCTCTGAGTCTGAGAGGTCGCCATTAAGTTAGCCCTCTCATTCAGTCTTTTTTTTTTTTTTTTTTTTTCCCCCTTGAATTTTGAGACAGGATCTCACTCTGTGACCTAGGCTAGAGTGCAATGACACAACCACAGCTTACTGAAGCCTCCACATCCCAGACTCAAGGGATCCTCCCACCTCAGCCTCCCCAGTAGCTGGGGCTACAGGTACGCGCCACCGTGCTTGGCTAATTTTTGTATATTTTTGTAGTGACAGGGTTTTGCCATGTAGCCCAGGCTGGTCTGGAACTCCTGGGCTCAAGTGGTCCACCCGCCCTGACTTCCCAAAATGCTGCCACTACAGGCCTGAGCCCCTAACTCAGTCTTTACTGCAGAGCACTAAAAGGGTGGAAGGAGCGCTTCACTGAGCCGTTCTCCTCCCCCCACCACCACAAGAGGTACAAATTCTACCAAACCTCGTCTCCTGGCCTCTCTGCCTCTGGTGCAGGTTGAGGTTTGGCCTTCAGGGACTGCTTCTGTGAGCTAGTTTCTTGCAAAGGATGTGACAAACGTCACTAGAGAGGACACACCTCAGCACGTGTTCCAAAGGGCTAATGTGGTGAGTTCAGCACTGGCCCCATCAGCGTGCAAACCATGTGAGAGGACTCATGCATGGGAGGCCACCCATGAGCAGGGCTATTTTAATAGAATGTCTTCGGGGTGTGTTAAGAAAAACCCCGGCTTGGAGTGTTTGTGGTTCATCTGGAACCAGGCAGCGCTGTTGTAAGTTTGGGGCCTATAGGGGCTTCTTGGGTTTCTGCTTATTGATACCCATTTCAGGTCCTCCAAGAACGGTCCTGAATCATTCCCTTGGCTATGGCCATGTACCGCATCATTCCTTTGAGTAGTACACTGTAAATACTTAAAGAATGCTGGAGAAAGTTTTGAGATCAGAGCCTTTCCCACAAAAGTCAGGAGTTCCAGCTCTCAATAAGCGGAGGTATCTGTGGTTAGAGGGAGCCCAGAAAATGTGGGCTATGTGCGCCCCCTGCTGGAGAGGGAGGCCCAGGCACGTGGGGCTTCTAGTTCAGGGCCCGGGTCCTCTTGAGGGTTCTCGGAGCACCTCCTCCCGGCTCAAACGGCTCCTCTTCCTGTCCTTTCAGGACTGCCTTGCGTGAGAGCAGGGCTGCTAAGGGTAACGTGGCAATCTAGAACCAGATTGTCGGGGTTCAAATCCTGCTTCTGCAACTGCTGTGTAACTTTCGGCAGGTCATTAAACCTCTCTGTTTAATGATCGTATTGGAGCCTCCCTCACGGAGTACTTATGAGACATAAACAAGATAACATCTCAAACACTGAGGCACAAACGAGGCAACATGTCAAAACACTTAGAATAGTGCCTGGCACACGGGGAGTGTTATGTGTTAATTAAATATTGATTATTGCTATTATTAATATCATCATCATAATTCTCCTGGTTATTAATAAAATATAAGAGAAAGTTTTTCTCCTCTCTCTCAACCCAAAGGGCCACTTTCACGGGCATCAGAAATTCTAACAATCCCAGAGCTAGGATTACAGGCATGAGCCACAGCACTAGGCTCATTATTCTAGATACTAAGAGAAGGGAAGAAACTGCTAACACTATTCCAATAAAAACATCTTCCTCAAAGAAAAACGGTAAGCGGCCGGGCGCAGTGGCTCACGCCTGTAATCCCAGCACTTTGGGAGGCCGATGCGGGCGGATCACGAGGTCAGGAGATCCAGACCATCCTGGCTAACACGGTGAAACCCCATCTCTACCAAAAATACAAAAATTAGCCGGGCGTGGTGGCGGGCGCCTGTAGTCCCAGCTACTCGGGAGGCTGAGGAGGGAAAATGGCGTGAACCGAGGGGCGGGGCTTGCAGTGAGCTGAGATCGCACCACTGCACTCCAGCCTGGGTGACAGAGCCAGACTCTGTCTCAAAAAAAAGAAGAAAGAAAAAAGGTAAGATAAGCCCCGTGGCCATGCCTGTAATCCTGGCACTTTAGGAGGCTAAGGTGGGAGATCACTTGAGGCCGGAAGTTTGAGACAAGTCTGGGCAACCTAGCAAGACTCCCTCTCTACAAAAAAATTTAAAAATTGACATATGCCTGTGGTCCCCGCTACTCGGGAGGCTGAGGTGTGAAGA